ATGATACCTCAGATTTGTTTGATGATTACGTGAGATCATGGGAGTATTTACCATGTTTGATACCTAGAAGCTCCATAAATAATAGTTCTAAACTGTCCCATTTTACCTTCTTTGAAGTACAGCTATACCCTTGAGCAACACTTCTCAGTATAGGTCTGAATAGAAGCAGCAATTCATTTCCATCAGGATTTATCATGAGAGAAAGCTGAGCTACTGATGTGTTCACTTCCTCACTCACCGTTCGGTCCTCCCATGAATGTCAGGCTGCACCCTCTGCCACCACCTCAATGACCCTCAAGGACCCTCCTATTGTTAAATCACTTTCAAGTCATATCATACTTGACCTCGCCATAGCATGTGACGATTTTGATCACTTGTTTATCTTCCGTAGCACTCCACTCCCTGGTTTATTCCTCGCCTCTTTAGCTACTCCTCAGTGTCAATTGCCAGCCATCTCTCCAAGGACTTTTGGAGATGAAATGGCAGATATTTATAGCTCAGATATGGCAGGATTTTTGTCGTTGTTGTTGTTCTCTACATATGTGAGCTCATCCATTCCTTTACCTTCAGTTTTCACCTATATGCTGGTGACTCCTGCTACAAATGTATAAATGTTAGGATGTTTTGGGCAGGAAGAAACAGAGAACTCAACTCCATTGATTTTATCAACAACAAAGAGAATTTACTGAATTATGAAATAGAAAATAGAGAGGAGGGGGTGGTGCTCAGGCATGTTCACTCAAGACCCTGACTGTTCCTCTGTAATTCTCATACTCTGCCTTCCTCTGTTTAACTTCATGCAACATGGCAATGCTGAGAAAAGAGAGTGTTATTTCAAAGCATCGTCATAAGTGTGGGGAAGCTTCTTTCCCAGAAACCTCCAGCAGAAATTTTTCCTTTCCTTGTTGGCCACAGACGGGTTACCATGCCCACGTGCCTATTCTTGAACCAATCCCTGTGGCTGAGGGAATGCAGTCATCCCTCAGTATCTGCAGAAGATTGGTTCCAGGACCCCTGCAGATACCGAAATCTGCATATGTTCAAGTCCTTTGTGTAAAATGGTGTAGTATTTACACGTAACCTACACACATCCTCCCGTATGCTTTTTAAAATTTTTTAAAATTTTATTTATCTATCTATCTATCTATTTATTTATTGAGATAGGCTCTTGCTCTGCTGCCCAGGCTGAAGTTCAGTGGTGCTCACTGTAACCTCAAACTCCTGGACTCAAGCCATCCTCCTGCCTTGGCCTCCCAAGTTGCTGGGACTACAGACACGTGCCACCAGGCCTGGCTACTTTTTGGTTTTTTTATAGAAACAGAGTCTTGCTTTTTTGCCCAGGCCAGTCTTGAACTCCTTGCCTGAAGTAATCCTCCCACTTTGGCCTCCCAAAGTGCTGAGATTACAGGCTTTTAAAAATTATTCTTCAGAGATGGGGTCTTGCTATGTTGCTCATGCTGGAGGGTAGTGGTTATTCACAGGCATTATCATAGCCCACCACAGCCTCAAACTCCTGCCCTCAAGTGATCCTCCTGCCTTAGCCTCCCATAGTTGAGATTATAGGCATATGCCACCACACTCGGCAACTCCTGTATACTTTAAATCCTCTCTAGATTACTTATAATAACATAATACAATGTAAATGCTATGTAAATAGTTGTTACATTGTATTGGTTTTTAAAGTTGTATTATTTTTCATTGTTTTTTTTTTTTCCCCTGAATATTTTCCATCCATAGTTGGTTGAATCCATGGACAGGCAACCCACAGATACAAAGGGCCAACGGTATCATGATTTCTTGGTTGGTTTAGGCCCACTAATCCCACTAATGCCTGAATCAATCACCACAGTAATCACTGATTATCCTTAATCTGGACCCACCTCTGAAGATGGAGTCAGTTCCCCAAATCGCATGGCTGGCACAAAACCAGGGTGGAATGAAAAGTGTACAGCAAGGTGCCCACAGTGTACATCAGATCTACCTTACTCAGTGGAAAGAGACCTAAAATAAGGAATTCTTGACACAGTTATGTTAACTGTCTGAGAGGCAGGCTTGGAGATACTGCAGGCCCTACAATCTGTGGGAAATAATTGTAAAAATTCTAAGCATTGTGATATCATGAGGGCTCACTCAGCTTTGACTTTTAAAATAAATTGGCTACAAATAAATAGGACTTTGTTATCTTGCCTTGTTATGTAGTTAATATTTTTTAAAAGGAAATAAAGAAACCAGGTGTGACAACTTCTTTGACTACCTGGAAGTGTGCAGGAACCTAAACACCTCATAAGATTGGGGCAATAACCTGTACTTTCCTAGTCTTGAAGAATCAAGTGTTAAATGGGAAAACCTAGATAGAGAGCTGTACAGCACTCAGTGGGTAGGAAGGACCTTGAACTGCGGCCCTATGCTCTGTCAAGGTCTTCCATTGTCTCCCAAGGTCTAATTGGCTCCCCGAACAGCTGCGTGTTCTTCCAAATAATTACTGTATTCTTGAGTAAATACACGTACAGTCCTATCACTATTATTCAATCTCTTCTTTAAAAGCAGCCACTACCATTTCCAGATCCATAGTTCCAAGCATATATTTTCCATAGACACCTCAAAATCCACATGTCCAAAATTTAAATAATCTTCCTCCTCTACAAAAAAAAAAAACTCTCTAATCCTCTTATTTCAATAAATGGCGTTAACCATGCACCACTCAATTCCCCAAATCAAAAGCCTAGAAATTAGCCTCAACTCTTCACTTCCCCTCATCCCCCTTCCCATCCAATCAATCTCTAAATCCTATAGATTCTACCTCCATTGAATCTGTCTATCCCACTGCTCTTATTTTAGTTTAGGCTGCCATCAAAAGATTCCTGTCTGGTCTCCCAACCTGTACCTGTGAACTCTCCAATTCATTTACCACATAACAGCTAGAGTTGTCTTTCTAAAGCTCGTCTTTCCTATGTATACCCTGTCTTTACTTCAAACCCATCAATGACTCTGCCCAAAGTCCTCCAGACAAAGCCTAAACTGTCTAACATAACACAGGCCATCATGCCCCATTTTGCTTTCCAGGTCAGCAGAAGGCAAGTAGGCATATGGCCCAAGGGCTAAATCCAGCCCACTACCTGTGTTTGTACAGCTTGCAATTTAAGGATGGTTTTTACATTTTTTAAATGACTGAAAAAGATCAAAAGATGAATAATATTTCATGACAATGAAAAGTATACGAAACTCAAACTTCAGTGTCTAGAATAAAGTTTTATTGGAACACAGCCCCGCCCAAAATCAGCCAAAACAAAACTATGGCTGATTTTGAGCTACAAGTTGAGTAGCTGTGACCAAGCTAGTATGGCCCACAAAAACTTAAAATATTTACTATTTGGTCCTGTCAAGCTAAAAAGACAACAGAGAAAGATTTCTTTAAAGATAATGAGTTTATTCGGGAGTGAGCAAAAAGAATTATAATCCAGGATGCCAAGCTAAGGCAAGCCACAGGTGCACCCTAGAAAGGGAAGGGTAGGGGTAAGCTTATATTGGCAAGAGAAAGAAGTTCAAGGAAAACTGCATGGAAACAAAGTTCACTGGTTCTGGAGGCTGAAAACAAGCGTTGGCACTGGCAGCGGTTCATTGGTGGAGGTGCTGTTGCGGGCAAGTGTCTTTCTGGAGCATCTTATCTGAATTGCTGCAGTCTTAATGTCTAGCAATACATCTTGTCATAGAAATAAGCGCGTATGTCCAAAATGAGCAAGTCACGCAAAGTATGGGATGTGTAAAGGATGTGAAGAAATTTATTTTGAGTTTTGTTTTTTATTCTTACAAAGGCCTTGAGACAGTTCTTATCTCAGACAGGAGCTCTCCTCCTTCAGGGTCTCTGGGCTCCAAATTGTCTGGGTCTGACAAGAGTGGCTTTTTATTGATAGTTGTAACTTTCACAGCCCTTCATAGAAAAAGTTTGCCAAACCCTGCGCTACATTCACTTCACATCACTCTCCAGTGTAGCCAAACCGAACTATTATATTTGCAGTTCCTAACAGACTACCCTTTTGTCTCTGACCTGTACTCCCCACCAGCCCCACTTCTCCTCCCCGCAACCTGCTCCTACTGAACTAACCCCATCGTAGCATTTAACAGCCATTCTCATTATCCTTTCATTTGTCTGGTGCACATGTTCACCACTGAATCCTCAGCACCCAGCACAATCCCCTCATTTGATGCTTAATAAATGTATTTTGATTGAATGAGCAGCATCCTGAACAGACGAACGAGAGTGGGTTCCAACTTTCAAAGAGCTTACAAAAAAGCAAGTTAAACATATGAACAAATTAACCTACAAGTTAGAAGGAAAAAAAATACTAAAAAGCAGCCAGTACCCTGTAGCAGAACCAAAAAGAGATAATTCCACCTAAGGAAAGGTGCCCCTTCCTTAGAATTCTTTCCGATTTGAATACAAGGCCACTTCTCCCCCATGATGAAATTTTTCCTGAGCTTATTTATTGGCATGGAGTGTCTTCAGGTGTAAAATAAGGCCGAATAATTCTGACTTCGCAGGATTACAATGAGTATGGGTAATTATAGAAATAAACCACGGAAAGCACGTAGCTCAGTGCGTGCTTCATTAAAAGCGCTCAACTCTTGGATCCTCAAAAACGTTGTTTAACGTTAACGGAGTCTGTATCCATCACGGGAATCTCCAATAATGCACCGCTAAGTGTCTGGCCCAGCATCCAACGCATCCCTTCAGTAAGAGCAGCGATCTCTCAGAACTTCCTTTCTCACAGGAGAGTCCTCGCGTTGGGGCGTCGCAGCTGGCTGCGCGCAGGGAACAAACTCCCTAGAAATGGCCTGGAGCTCCGCTGGGGGGGGCGGGGGGGGGCCGCCGCCCGTGGGGTGGAAGAACTACAACTCCCGTCGTGCTTCGCCTGAGCTTAGGGCTTCTCTACATTTTATCACTCCCAGCCTCTGATGCGCAGTCCTCTGTGACTCCGCCTCAACAGGGCCCTCTCTTGTTTCCTTCGGTAGTTCAGGGCGTGGCCACGTCCCGGCCACCGGAAATATCCGTGTGACGACACGAAAACCTACGCGTCACGCGAGGTGCAGGAGTTGGCGGACGGTCCCTGGCTGGCTTCTGGAGGCCCTGCGACCGCGGAAGAGGGTTCTGAGGGCTGCCGCAATGCCTCGCCCACGGCGGGTCAGTCAGCTTCTGGATCTGTGAGTCCACCCCGACCGGCCTTCCCTTCGCGCTGCCCGGGCACCTCCTCCAAACGGCCAGGCCCCGCGCTGCTCTTCCTCCCCGCCCCTTTTCCACCTCCCGACCTGTGACGAGGCCCCGATTGTGTTTCCATCCCTGGGTTTCTGACTTGTCGCTTCCGCGCTGAGGACAGTTGTGCAGAATGGGCTGCTGGGCGGGCTTGGCCCTCCGTCCTCTGCCCTGGGCGCTCCCGGGCGGGCTTGGCCCTCCGTCCTCTGCCCTGGGCGCTCCCGGTGAGCGTCCCGGTTCTTCGGTCAGCCTGGACAGCTCCGCGCCCCGGTAGTTCCAGGCAGTGGCCTGTCTCTGACAGGAGCTAAAAAGCCTTGGTCGAACAAAACAAAACACTAGATGGGGCTCGCAAAAGCCTTCAGCAAAATTCCACCCCGTTACCGTAAGTGTGATAAATACGGAGTCTTTGAGGCAGTTTGTAACAAAGTGGTTAAGAACACGGATCCTTGATTGGGATTGCTGGCTTCAGCTCCCGGCTCTGCCATTCACCAGCCACGTGACCGCGGACGGGTAACTTAACTTCTCCCAAGTGCCTGGGTTCTTTATCTCTAAAATTAGTGTAATAAGAGTACCTGTCTCATAGAGTTGTCGTTAGGAATAAATTTAACACAATCCCTTGGAAGGATATCTAGCAAATAATAAACACCACTACGTGTTAATTATTGTTAATTATTTCACATCAGAAATTCTGCTGGAAATTGCAGTTACACGGGCAATTGTATCTCTCCAGGAGCTTTCAGTCCACTAATGTTGCCATGTAAAAAATAGACATCGTAAAGCTAAGGAGAACAATCTCCTTAATCTATCGAAGGCTTTCTAAAACAATGGGATTTGACATTTTACATTATATCTAATAAACTCCTGGCTCACAGTCCACAGTCACTTTTCATAACAGAGGAATCAGTTGGGTCTTCCTTATGTAGACTCAGACTTGTGTAGAGTCCTGAGGGAACAAAATCTTGCTTTAGTTCTTGGCACAAATTTTACACCTGATCCAAATGGGAATTTATTTCCATCAGTAAAGGCAGTTTAAAGTAATAGTTAAGAGTACAAGCTAGGAAGACAGACTAACTACCTGGGTTTTATTCATAATCTAACATTTACTAGTTATACAATCTTGAGCAAATAATGTAACCTGTCTGGGTTCTAGTTTTCTCGTCTGTAAATGGAAGACAATAGTAATATAACCTACTCTATTGAACTGTTGTAAAAATTAAAAGCCAGTATATGTAAAGCCCATAAAACAGTGGTTGGCCATAGTTAAATATTCATTTTTGTTAGTTATAGATATTATTTTCTGCCTACCATGGAAAGTGTGTAAGAAGAGCTATGCTACCTCAATCCTGACCTTTCTTCTAAGGCTTAATTACACTCCCTTAATTCTTATCTCTTTCCTGAAGCCTCCCTGATGGTTCCATAGAAATGATCCTCTGTACTCCTGTGGCCAGAATCAAGTCTTTTCTCTCTCTGTACCCACGGTTCCTAATTTTTAGGAGTTGCTCAGTATTCAGTTAAACATGTATTTAAAGAGCACATGTGGCATGTGAAACACTACGCTGAAGATTGTGGGAAATAGCTAGCATCAAGGAGGTGTAGTCTTAGAGGACTCATACAAAATAAGTATGTAAATAACTATAATGTAGGTAGAATAATACCACAAAAAAGAGATTAATAAAGTGTTTCAAATTTTCTGATGAGGGAAAGAACGTATAACAATAGGAGAATGCTTTGTAAAGGAGTTGTATTTGAAGATTGGTAGCATCTAACAGTTGCAAATGGGAGGAAATACATCCAAGAGAGAGTAAAATAATAAGAGTAAAAGCTTGACAGGCAGGAAAGTTAAAAATATGTGAGAAGACCAGAAAGTAGTCTTCCAGTTTGAATGAAAGATACAATATGAATAGCAGAGTAGTGAGACATAAAGTTAAATAATTAGGAGTAGACTCTTAGGGACCAGAATGAATAAGAACATTTAATTTTGTAGCAGTTGGGAGCTATCGAAGGTTTTGGAACCGTACTGGGAGCAGAGAGAGATTTGAATTAGGGAGAGATCGGGAATAGGGAGATACTTAGGAAACTGTTACAGAATCTTGTGAAGAGGTAAGGAGAGCACAGACTAGGAGACATGTGAAGATGTTCTTTGCAGAATTACTTCTGATGACAAGAAGTTGAAGTGGGAGAGGTGCCATGGAATATGCAGCTGTTAGAAAAGTAAAGGGTAGATATATACAGATATATATGGATGGCACTTTAAAACATAGTGCTTAGTGAAAAAAGAGGAAACAGAATAACATTTAAGAAAAATTATCCAGAACTTGGGGGTAAGACAAAACAATGACTACATGACTTTCACTGTCATATAGGGTGGTGTCCCCATGTAAGGGTCCATTTTTGCCTTTAGAACCATATTTTATACCCTTTGGGGACAAGGTATGGTCTGAGATTGGCAGTTGGTCAGCAAGCTATTTCTTTTTTTTTTTTGAGACAGAGTCTCACTCTGTTGCCCGGGCTAGAGTGCCGTGGCGTCATCCTAGCTCACAGCAACCACCAACTCCTGGGCTCAAGTGATCTTCCTGCCTCAGCCTCTCGAGTAGCTGAGACTACAGGCATGTGCCACCATGCCCGGCTAATTTTTTCTGTATATTTTTAGTTGTCCAATTAATTTCTTTCTAATTTTAGTAGAGACGGGGTCTCGCTCTTGCTCAGGCTGGTTTTGAACTCCTGAGCTTAAACAATCCGCCCGCCTCGGCCTCCCAGAGAGCTAGGATTACAGGCGTGAGCCACCGCGCCCCGCCAAGCTACTTCTGATTTGTAACAAAGTAAGGAGCTTGAGCCACAATAGTGATCAACTGTGTCACTAAGCACACTATTTAGTCCAGCTGATAGGATCTTCTCCATGAAGGAAATAGTGCTTGGTCTACGTTCTTGCATAAACTCCTTATTTCCTCACTGATCAGCACTTTGATGCCTTAAAGAATCCTTTGGATCTGGGACATGATGAATGATTTTGAATAGAGAGACCAAGGAAAGGGAAGAATTAGAAATTACTCTAAAGTTTTCTGTTTTGTTGACTGGGAGGATGGTGGTTAGACAGGGAAGAGGAAGGGTCTTATGGGGAAAATGAATCAGAACATCTAGTAGAAATATCAAGCAGGCTGTTAGAATATAATTTTGAATCTGAGAGAGAGATCAGGGATTGAGACTAAGACTGGGGGTAAATCTCTATAGATGATAGATAAAGCCACAGTTAAGTTTAAAGGAGAGGACATAGAAAAAAAAAAGCCAAAGACAAAATTTTGTGTAACACTTACATTAGAAGAAGACCATTTTGCCAAAACTCATTTCTTTGTTAGATCAATTCACCATATAACTGATTGGCCAGATATTAATAAGTTGTTTCTTTTAACTGTAAAATTCAGAGCAATGCATATTGGATGGGATATCTCCACCCCTCCCCCCAATTATTTTACAGCTTTTGAAGATTTTAAGTTTTAGCTGACTGCTTTTCATTTTGTTTTGAGGAATGAGACCGCCTGTGTCAACTGTTGTGCCTGAGAATTGGGACTACTTATGTCAACGTAACTTTTTGCTCTAGGAAATTTTTATAAATCAATTTGTATAAATAAACAGCTATCAAGACAAACATTTTGATGGTTAGGGCAAACATGTTTATCAGGACAGATTTCTCATCAAGGCTTGCTTTAATACCCTGTGTCCATTAGTCTTAAACTATTCTGTCACAGACTTTGCCCAGTCCAAACCCATTTCCCATCTTGGGGGGAAAACTCCTAAACTACTGGAGCTTGCATCCCAAAACTGTACATCATGTACTCTTGCCTAATTTTATCCCACTGAGACCCTAGCAAAACCCTGCCAGCTCTCCCTTGCTGCCGTAAATTTAATAAACTATGCTTTGTTGGCCAACAGGCTTTTTGGATGGGCTTTGTGGGCCATTTAATGGTATTCATAGCAACATTTTAAGAAATATTTAGTTTGTTTCTGTCCCAACTCCCTGCTGTTGACACTGGTAGAAACTGGAGCAGAAAGAGGAAACCATTTGCTCTGGGAAACACATGGCACAGCCTGCACAGCTGAGCTCAGAGAAGGGAATACTAAAGGGCCAAGATGAAAAAGATTGGGAGAATAAGGGGTGGGGAAGGGTGGTATTGTGGAAAAAAGGTAACATTGAAATATAGCTGAAATCAGCATCAAGGATAATACAGTATTCCCCCCTTACCTGCAGTTTTGCTTTCTACAGTTTCAGTTCCCCATGATCTACCATAGTCCAAAAATATTAAGTGGAAAATTTCAAAAATAAATAGTTCATAAGTTTTAAATTGTGTGCCATTCTAAGTAGTGTGATGAAATCTTGTGCCGTCTCACTCCAGGATATGAATGCTCCCTTTGTCCAGCATACCCACTCTGCATACAATCCTCGTTGTCACTTAGTTACCAGATCGACTGTTGTGGGTATGGCAGTGCTTGTGTTCAAGGAATTCTTATTTTACTTAATAATGGCCCCAAAGTGGAAGAGTAGTGATGCAGGCATATTGTTATGATTGTTCTATTTTATGATTATTTATTGTTGTTAATCTCTTACTGTGCCTAATTTATAAATTAAACTTTATCATAGGTATGTATGTATAGGAAAAAACATAGTATATATAGGGTTTATCAGTGTCCATGGTTTTGTTACCTCCCAACTGAGTCCGTTGCCCACTGCCCAGTAAAGGCCAATATACTAAGACAGCAGGAGTTGCAGGGGAGAAAGTTTGCAAGGCTCCAGGAGAGGAGATGGGAGTAATTCCTCAAATCCATCTCCTGGAGAATTTAGGGGCTAAGATTTTTAAAGGTAGTTTGACAAACAAAGGGCTATGGAATTGGGTCTGCTGATTGGCTGGGGATGAATTCATAGGATTGGGAAAACAGAAATTGTCTTCCTGGCTGGGAT